AGAATGTCACTTTGAAGTCTACACTGCACACTTTTTTTGACCACTAGAATATTCGCATGGTAATAAAACGATAGTAATTGTTACTGATTTTATCTAGACACTACCGCCAAATACCTTAATTTGCTTATATCGTTGTCAGTTAAAGAATGCAAAAAGTGCACGATTTTAAAATCTTGCAGTCTCCTGCGACTATCGAGGTTTTAAACGATGCTATAAAAAATGTTTTTTCCCAAACTCATTAAACAGCTTTACGTGCATTTAAACTTCTTCTATTTGTTTTTTTGTCGAAAAAAAATAATTGCAAACGGCCGTGATTCCTTCCTCATTAGTCGTTGGAAATGTTGAAAAGCATGAATTAGTCAAATATACCTCCAAAACAGTATCCAATACAAAGCATCGATCAGTGTAGTTGAAATCAGTTAGAACATCGGCGGTGTGGAGGTGTGGTGGATCAGATTCACTGATAGGAGGCAAGTTTTACTCTGTGCCTTAAGAACACAATTGCTCGAAAACGTTTCATTCAAACACCGATAGCTTAGTTAAATTATGATACATTTGTTTGGACAGTAGCATATATACATATATTTGTATATCCGTTTATTAAGACACTAACGGTTCGACCAAGCGGTGGCCAAGTTACCTCAAGAAAGAAATAGGTCAGGAAACCCTATAGAGATTTAGCTCCGAATACGTCTTTTCTCAGTCTAAAGAACATATGCAATTGTCTATTTCTTCTCAATTTACTATGTTGCTGACTCACACTACTACCGATTAATTATGAAGGTAGTGCACATTATCTCATACACACTGCAGCACTTCCTAGCATTGGATGTAGATTTAGAAAATATAAAATATGGCAAAATACATGTAATGGCCTAATGAAGTTGTGGATATTCCGATTAGCTTGTTTCCGACTCATCCGCAAATAGGATCAACCTCGGATACTCCATTCGTCAAGAGAGAAATACAATGTTAAATTACTTATTTAAGTTATGATAAAGCTAGTTAATTTTGTAGAAATCCAACCTACCTAAATCGATATTAAACCAGGTTTACAGGGAGCTTATTTCCAAGTCACTATTCTAAAATGCTTCAAAGTCAACTCCCAATGAATTATCTTTATGCAGCAAACATTAACTACTTTTGCAAAAAATTTTTGTTGTCTATTTGCTGTGATTTATTACTCTAAATCTAATATGTTCCAGGAGAACCAATTACAGAGTGGATGTCCAATTGATCCTGAAGGTGCAACAGTAACCGTAGCGACTACCTCATCAAGAAGTTCCTCCCCAACGGCGTCAGAGCTGACCTTCTGTTCGGAAGATACCAGTGATCCAGACGACGTCAATCACATTGATGAATTGGAGTTGAACATGACCGATTTTCATCGAAAAGTTGAACGAAGTTTGGCTTGGATTCTATCAATGGAGGAACGCCTAGTAGAGAACTTCCCTCAACTGAAGGATGTGATCGGAAATGATAGAAAAGAGGAGGCAAAGAAAGTAGAATTTTACGACCATATGGCAGAGATAGAGACGGAGGACCTTAACGCCATGCAAGATCTGCCACATGAGGAATTGAAAGCCATTAATGAATCTATCGTTGAGCGGTTGTCAGATGCAAGAATTCGATTTAATACACATGAAGTAAGTGTGCGATTTTTTCAGTTGCTTTATCATTTTGATCGTTTCAAAATTTTTATAAAAAATAATATATAACATTTTGTGAGTTAGGATATCTCCATTCTTGATTATAATAGGGATAAGTTGTGCTACCCACAAAGAAAGTAATCGTCAGTTATGAATGAATACCTTTTATTGTTCTAATCATTCAAATAGTTCTCGTGTGACCCATTTCCCCACTTTTGGTTCTTGAGGCACTTAAGTGGCAAAGAGATCCAAAAAGATCCGTAGCAAGTGATTTTTGATTAGTTGCGACTACAAACTATTAGCTCGATAATTAGAATATGATGATTCTCTGAGACGTCACTCCTTTCTTAATAAGGTTAATTGCTGTCAAAACATAGAGAGTAGCCTTCAACCAGAAAGGTAGTCTCCCACGCTACCAGACGCTTGTCAGATGCATTAATATTTCCAGAAAAAACTTGGTTGTCTTTCAAAGGTCAAATATTGGGTAATGGCATCCTATTAGTTCAAATCATTCGAATAAAATCCAATACAGTAAATTGTCCTTTTGATTAATTGCTTGAAGAGTAATTGTATTCAATTTCTGTACAAGTAAAGTAATAGAATTTATTGAAAGATGTTTAAATGAAGCTGTGATTAGTCAGAATAATTATCTGTATCTTCCGCCTTCAATTATCCACTAAAAAGTATGAAGAAAAAGGTAAAATCACGATATTGACAAAGTAACTTGTTTTAGGATTTAACTGCACATCTTACTAAACATGAGCCAAATGTTCGCCGGTGTCTACGATATGGTCAACAACTCGCTAATCTCGCAGAACGTGTTCAGCGGATCTCAGGTACGGTATCTCCCTCTTCTACTATAGACCACCTCCAATCTGTCAACTCCTCAGAAGTTATGAAGATGTTAAATTTTCTTCATAATCGGTGGACAAATCTCAACAGAGCAGCTGAATCCGGAAATCGATTTCTTGCTAGCTGTCTTATTAGTAGACAAGAAGCTCTCTTACGTGCTGTTGAAATCCAGCTTGGCAAACTTGAATGGGAAAAGTATTTTTAATTTTTACATTTCTACTGATTTGAATCAGTAGAGGGTAATTTAACAATTCATTTCCATTCTAGGGACCGTCAAGCAACAGAACGTTTTGGTACATCCGTTCCAGAACTCAAAGCTCAACTTAGTGCCAATCGAAGGCTGGAAAATTACTTAGAATTTGGAGAAACTCTTGCGCGCCAAATGCAGGATATCGTTATTCTAGTTCCTTCAGAAACGCCGAATGCCCGTGATGCTGACTTCGAGGAGAGAATAGCGTTTCTTGCAACTCAGTGGACAAGACTTGTTGAATGGGTTCATACTCACTATGCTCAGCTTCAAAATGCTCTTCTACATTGGAGGCACTTCCAGGAAGAAGCAGATGTCCTAGAGGAATGGTTAGGGCAGTTGGAGGTCGAATCCAGGGAAGTAGAAAGAAGGAAAACTAGAGAGATGGAACAGAAAATGCGTAGAAACCCATCGAGAACAGAAGAACAGGTCCTAAGAGAGGCGAGACAACTTAGCGAAGCAATTTCTGATGCTGTCACTGTAAGATTTTCTATTATTGTTTTTGCTTCTTCCAATCAAAACTATACAGCTCATTTTTAAATATTAGCCGGAGTCAAATTACTCACTATTGGAATAAAACAGGTTAGACCACAAAGAGTTGGAATAGAGTATAAAAGGAAAACAAGGATTGAACCTAGTTACTATAAATCTAGAAGTTTCTAGTTGTCCACTAGCCCTTATTGTGCACATATTTGGCATCTCCATCTTTGAATAGAACAGGCAAAAGCATTAATACATGAAACTTTTGATTAAATTGTTTCAGCAATAAAAAAATACAAAAAACAACAAAAGTGGTACAGCAGGATATAAGAGGGACAAACTACCCTCTGTTGCGATTTGTGAATCGAAACAGATTCAACGCAATATCAAATAACACATGTTACGAAATAGGTTTCTTCGAGTGGCTAATCTGGCGAACACCGGCCATATTTGATCAAGATTCCAATATTTCCTGATATAGTAGTTTTATTGCAGTAACCTACATAATTCGTACAACGAGCTCAGAAGCAAATTGCTTTAATTGGAGCTTGGAGCGATGATTGTGAATCTTCTATTTTTGTAATTGATGCTGCTTTCTTAGAGGCGAATTCAGTGCATTTGTTTCCAGAAACGGATATCGTCCATTTAGTGAATTCATAAACATAAGTTCTAAAATATATGATTTCCAATTCATAACAGCACATGACTAGTTATTTCAATCGAGTGAAAGGTTCCGAGACAATTGAAGGCGAATGAAGTTTCTTCAAACACGTAATTTTGAGAAAGAGAAATTAAGCGTTTTTGGAGGCCATTCAATAAGGAACTTGAACAATAGAGAATGTGAACTTTGACTTAAATTAAAATTTTTCTCCTCTGCGTAAGAACACGTCAAAGTTGAACTGCGCTACCAGATTAGAAAGATGATCAGATTTTATGACAAAATGCATTTAAGTAACATTTCAGATTGCGTAATTTCGATGAAGCAGTATCAATTTTCACATTGGCTCAGTGAAAATTCCTGCACTCTGACTGATTCAATCAGGAAAACGAAAGTTAATTAAGTTATTAAACGGTAAAAATACAATTAAGCAATTCATGTCATACTCAATTTTTGTCCAGTTCATTGATTTTCCACGTAACTTGTGTTTGGCTTATGGTCTCTTCTCCATTATTAAAAAACAATTGTTTTTTCCATTATCAAACACTTTTATGAATTGTCCTCACTTTCATAATGACGCCGATTTTCTTAAAAGAATCATTCCTTCTCATTACCTCCACGTGGTGCACCCTGGCCAACGTATCTTCTACGACAAAAAAGTCTATCACTCGGCATTCGATTTGACTTCGATTTATTACGATTAGCTAGGGCTAATGATAAATATCATAAAGCCTGCCATTTGAAATAAATAAATACGTTGTTAGCCAGCTTGAAGGGAAATCAACGTAACCAATTTTTCCACAGTTAGATGACAAAATCGTAATTATTGGAATTAACTGTTATTAGTTGAAGAATGTCCAACAAACTATTAAAGGAAGGGACATGTGGGGTGTCAATCATCAGGAAATTCGATGGTTTTAGTAAGCCGAATTTCAGTGAACAAAGGTCAAGCTCCGGGGTTTTATAGCCCAGTTGAGTTGAGAATCAAATGTGGATATACATTTTCCAAATTATGTTTCTGTCTTACTATCCACTTGGGCATTGAAACGGTTGAAGGTAAGTAGTTGGGAGGATCAAATTTTTTGTTCTTCTATCAGTCACCGCTTTCGAAATAAATTTCTTAATTGGCTTTTCTCAGTGGAAATGAAAAATAATACAAAGATAGTACAGTGACGGAAATTGAAGAGGAGGAAATAATAGATTCAGGCTTTAATGATCTATATTTGCATTCTAGAAAGATTGGATCGCGTTTTCTCATAGTAAATACAGCCTTTTTAACTTTCCGAATTATGGTATCCTTCTCTGTGCATTTCTGGATGATTTCAAATTCTTAAAATTAAAATGGTCTGTTGATCAGTTGGCTATGCCACATTGACTCACTTGAACTCTCGTTAAGACAGGAGTAGACAAGTGAAACAAGCAAGGGCATTCCAAAAATGACACAGTTCACTAGAGTTCACCAAGTGTGAAAACAACTTTTGCCTCAGACATTTATTTATATCAAATGGTAGGCTTTATGATAGTTAACATTAGCCTTTTGGCCGATATCGGTCCCCATAGAAGGGGATATCAAAGTGAGAAAAATTCGACAGTGGATTAGAAGGTTAATTCGGAAATGTAAAAGAGACAGACAGAAACAAAATAGGGAGAAAGGTGAGTACTGTGGAAGTGGTCGAATATAACAAGCATTCAAGTCATGGTAGTGCGAAGTCAGATGTCAACTGTCGGTTTATAAACTTTTTGCGTATGAGTATATGTTTCCCAGGGCGTACCACGTGGAGTTAAGCCTATCACGACTTTGTAAGTACTGAGATAGTTGTCCTGCTTGATATTCTTTATAACTTATGAATGGTATGATTTTCAGTTCAAATAACCGTATTTAAATAATTTGAATCAATCTAGCGCAGACTTGGAATCAGCGTATTTATTTCCATTTTCTGCCATGAAGCAATATATATAAGGCCCAAGTACATGATCCAAGTCATATTCTGTGGCATTTTTGGCAGGGTGCCAGAAGTAACTGTTTTATGGATAGTCAAATTGGGCCCTTAATTTTTCCCTAAAATTGACATTGTGTACTTCACGAAATTCATTTCGACTTCAATAATCGCACTGGGTTCATTTTACAGCCAGATTTATCATCAAACAGATGCTCACTTGACATGTCAATTGTAAATATTCTCACGGCACCCAAAGCGAAAGAAAAAGCGTTAAAAGAAAAGAACTCGACTTTTTTTCTCACTCTAACCTGTTATTTTAAGGTTTAAACGGGGGGGGGGAAACGATAAGCTCTGGTGTGCAAAATTATGTCTTTTATACCGGAAGATATACCCAAATATTTTCTACAAAATAACCACTGCATTTCTAACAAACCTGCTTGCTTTGGACAAACTCCCTTTTTTGCAACCAGACAAATAGGAATTAAATTAAGTTTATGCAAATGAAGACAAACCTTTAAACCGAACAATTCTTACAATGGCTTGTCCTTAATCATTTGAAAACCATTCAAGTGGCAATAACATAGATTCTTACAGTGAATAAATTGCCTTTTCTCAATATCAGTTTTAAGAGGAGCCAATGTTCATAAAGAACAGATTTTTCAAACACATTTCGAAAGTACTAAAATCAGCGCGAAATAACTACAACTCTCTAATAGGCATATTTCATAGATGGAATAGGCTAATATGAAATGGCTTAAAGACTGTGAGATATATGAGTGGTGGAAACATGTAAGAAATATGAGGGATCCGACCTATGCTTTGTCAGACTGGACTAAGAAGTATGTTGACTTGCTTTAAACTTTTCACCATCAACACGTTTGGAAGCTAATATATGTCATACGATTATTTGCAGTCCATTATTAGCAAAATCGGAAGTTTCATAGAGACATATGCATTAGCCCAAGAGAAGTTGTACCGCTGCAGTCACCTTGTTCATATCAATCTATATTTCATTATTCTTTGGCAAAGCAAGTGTTTTAATAAAAAATGTGAGAAAAAATGAAACTGGCATTCCTTTGAGTTAAGCACAATCAGAAGGTGCCTATCTATCATCCTCTCCCACCCTCACCATCCCCCTTCCAGCCTACAACATCAAATGTGCGCGCACTCAACATAAGCGCACACAAATACACACACACGCATCAAATGACCTTGACTATCGAGTGGGTTGACTATTGGATTAAGTAATCTTATTATTCTCTCTGTCTCTTACGCACGCGTGCCTGCTCAACAGGCCTGTCTATCTCGATACGAGACAAGGTGGGCTCAATTATTGGCAAGTCTTGATAGACGTGCAACTAGCGTTCGTGAAGCCTGTGGAGATTCTATTGAGATCCAACGTGCTGTTGAAACGCTAGTCGACAACCTCGTATCTCGTTGGAGTCAACTCACTGAACCCCATTTGGACTTAGACGATAACGGCGTTCATTCCCAAGACGTAAATCCCCGGAATTTCTTCCCAAGCATGCAGCAGCAAAATTCTGTACAGGTTTGCAACTGTTTCTTTTAAAAATACATACCAATTTCCTTTTAAATTATCTTCTTGGCTCAATAAGTTTTGTTTTGCAATTTCTGCCCTGTTTTAAACAAATAAATATTCTTCGATCAGTGGTCCTGAAAAAATATGAATTACTCCTCGTCAGAGTGTAAGGATTTGGAATCAGAAACTAATTAATAAAGTTCTGACAAGCTACACTTTGCGCCTCTGTGTGAGGTTAAAACAGACTTATGAGTAGTTGAGGAAGGGTTTGGAGCTGAGCCAAAGGTATAAATTTGTCCTCTAAGTACACACATACAAACGCAATAGTTGTATGCAAATACGCGGGTATTTTGAAGTTAGTGCTCACAACAATTTCTATAGTTTGCACAAATATGAATAAATTTCGTCTTTCGATTTACATATTAATTGCACTGAACCGACCGCGGAATTTTCGAGTTTCGGAGTTAGACACGAAGGAGGGAATCGTTTTACCAATAAGACTTAATAAAAAATTTCTGCAAATCTATGCAAACAAAAATCAATATAATTTGCTAGAATATAAGCATTGCATTTTGTATATTAGCTTGATCGTCTTTATTAGTGAATATCAATTCTATGAATGGTTTTTATTTCCTGAAGGTTGATTAATTTTATTTAATGTTTTTTTCTCTATAGCTCCGTAATGAAGGTGGTAGCTCTGATGGTACGAAAAGAGCCGCCGATTCTACTCCAAATGCTGTTCCAGAAAAGCGGTTTAGCTTGGAATCAGGTATGAGATATATTAATACAGAAGAATAATTACATACATAACTTATTGATTTGTTAATAATTGAGTCACACCGGCAGGCCCTAGTTGGAATTACGAAATGGTTTTATTTCCAGTTAGAAATGCACCTTTTTCGTATGGGCAATGGAGTAATGATTGATTTCTTGCAGATTTCAAATAGATGGTGGCTTGTTGATCCCAGACTGTGCTGGGATCGCTTTTTGAGCAAAATAACATACAGTAGAGATCAAAATAGCTGGGTTTATCAACCGCAATTCAGAGTTATTCATTTTGGAATTTAAAACTCATCGTTTTATCTTCATCCGAAATTCACTCAAATCAGTACTAGGGTTTACGAAAGTCAAAATACCGAAACCTTATCTAGGCTAACTCTTAATGGGAGTCAATATGCACAATAGCTTAACTATACTGTTTTTGACAATTTTTTGTAATAATTTGACACTTCGTTTGCAATTTTAAAATGTCTTCGGCATTTACTTTCATACTTTGCAATAGCATTTTCATTCAACATAAAACTCATTGCCTCTATTTTACTGTCTATTGATAACTGAAACATACTCCTAACTTAAGATTTCATTTTCTAACTATTTCGATTTGACATCCAGAAGTAATAATAATATTTATTTATTTATACCAAATGGCAGGCATGTTCCCAATTATTTATTTATTTATATCAAATGGCAGGAGTTTTGAAGATAGTTATCATTAGCCCTGGAGCTGACTTCGGGGCTTCACAGAGAGGAGAAGGAACATAAAGAGACTTTGGGCTTCACAGAAAGGAAGAGGAACACCAAAGTGAAACTTCAGGCTTCACAGAAAGGAAGATGAACATCCAACTGGTGCTTCACAGAAAGGAAGATGAACATCAAAGTGGCAAAAATCCTTCACAGAAAGGATGAGGAACACCAAAGTGGCAAAAAGTCATACATTGGGAGACAGAATAATGATTCACAGAGGTAAAAGAGACAGACAGACACAAATGCATAAAAAGGTAAGATGAGTACTGCGGAATGGATCGAACATGATAAATAGTCGGGCAATAGTAGTTTGAAGTGAGAAGTCAACTGCCGATCAATAGACTTTTTTGCCGTATGAGTATACGTTGCCCAGGGTGCACCACGTGGAGGTAAGTCTATTGCGCACCCCGAAGCAATAATAATAAAGATCATTCTTCTAGCGCTTTCACTGAGTTCTTCATCAGGTCATATATAGGGTCATTTAAAGATGTGATTTCAAAATGCACATTGAATTGAGTTGTATCCATTACACTTCAAGTTGATGTTTTTTGCATTTGATGTGATTTTTGTATTTTTCTTCTTCCTCGAGGTCGGATCGCGATGATTCCAACTGGTTACAGAGCGGAATTCGAGAGCAAAGCAGAAAAAATTTTGAACTGGCTCGATACTCGAATCGAATCTCTGGAATTGACGACAATGAAAGCAGCAAACGAGGAACAACCAGATTTAATAAACCAAGAGAACAGTCAACGAGTAGAGTCGCCAAGTGCTGTGATTAGCAAAATTGACAAGGAATTACCAGAAATCAAAGAGGATATGGTCCTGGTTAACACACTTGGTGAACGATATCGAAAGGACCTTAGCCAAGGTATGTATTTACATATCAGCAGTTTATTTAAATAAAATGTCTTCAAATTAACCAATTCCGACAAATTCTTGTATTAAATAGCCGGTGAAAATGTTGAAGAACTGGATCAACTCTTTGAAGACATCGAAGAGAGGTGGTCGATGTTGGATCAGCTCTACAAGAAGGCCTCAGTTCTGATTGAAGATAGAGCAATATCATCTCAGATTGTATCTTCAGAAGAGACGCCTGTACAGCAAGCTTCGTCAGAGAAAACGTCGAAAAGTAGGACTCTTTGAAAAACATTTTTTGCATAAGTAGTCTAGGTGATTCATTCGTCTTGATAGTCAAAAATATGTAGATTTTGGAATGAGTCATAGATACAGTGAAAGGTATTGCTCGGCAAAAGCGCAAGATTAGAATGTGAACTAGCGGAAATCGAGATGACTCCAATAAAAGACCAGATTAATTTGATTTTCAAATTTAGAGTGGTCTATCGATTGGTGCTTGGCAGGATATTTCTCATTTCACCCGCTAACTGGTTTCGCTTCTGCTATCCCTTCAGTGATGCCAAAGGATTGTATTTTGCTATGGAAGTAGACTTTTAGAAAATAATCCACGCCTTAGTAGTTTTTTTGTCGACTAGAACTTTAATTTATTGAATTTGTATTTTCATATCCAAAATATACAACCATCTGCAAGTCAAGGTAATGAGTTGAGAGACGAGGTTGTGCAATGAAATGTGGAAGTGGTTGTCGCACGAAGCAGTCTTAGATGAAACGAAAAGTGAGCCAACGACTAGTAGAATAGAATATACTCCACTTAAAACAATATGGAGGGTACAGTACGCATGATGCAATTTCTGTTCAATGACTAAGAACAGTAAACTCCCAATCTTCAATTTTCATAATATAAGAAAGTAAAGGAGAAAAATTTCTCCAGTCCAAAAGAAATCTTAGCCTTTTCTTGATGACAAATTCTAAATTTGGCTTGAAATTTCATGCCATTAACTTAATACTTACAGATACACCCATGCTTCTCATATCCATACCTCCAATACTGAAGTTTAAGTGTTTTTACTGATCAAATGTAAGTACGTAAGAAATAGGTATAGTGCTATTCTGAATTCTATCTTGTTCTCGAAAAGGTTTGAGTGTATCATTGGTGGTTTTACTATAAAAGAGTTTGTCTCTATGGTGTGTTATTCTGTGCACAAATTCATATTAGTTTTGCAAATATCGATATATCAACCTGCACTATTTTTTTAGCGTATCGTAGTATCAACCATGATAAAGCGAAAGATAGTTTTTATAAAGACAAAGCCCATAGCACAAATAGGAGTGAAATAGTCAAATATGGGACAATTGGGATTGATTAGAAGTAGCTGTCAAACGTATTCTAATCCATCTTGATTTAAGCATATTTATTTACTGTCGAATTCAGTTATTAATGCCTACATGTTTCAAAGTTCAAACCTAAGGATTTGTTACATAAAATTATTAAATGAGTCCATGTTCCCAAGTTCAGGTATTATTAACCTATTACCGAAACTGAATGGTTAGTCAGGACAACACGACAAAGTTTCTGATCCAGTAACAAAAGCAGGGTTTGTAATTAAAGTTATTGCTTGAAAAATTTTCTATAGGCCATAATTATTGTTCTTATATCAGAACAAGAAAACGTTTATAGAGAAACCACAATGTCTCGCTGATTCTGATCGAGGTGCTAAATTTCGGCTTTCTCTGGTTGAAGCAATCCTATGATGGGCTCAATTGATCTGTAATCATAAATTTATTGATTTACTGTAGTACACTTGATATTTATACGAAGCAATAGAAGTGATGTATAGAACCTCAAAGCTTACTCGGAATGATGTGAGGCCGGAGTATTGATAATAGATTATTAATAACCTTGAATTACTTCCTAGGTATCTGCGATTCAGTTGAAACCTTCAAGCAATGGCTTGAGGAAGCAAAGACGGAGGCCACTCGGCAAATCAAATGCAAAGATGGAAACGAACTAGACGAACTAATTGCAGATTTTACAGTGAGTTTACGATCATTCCATCATATTCCTCAGATATCGATATCGTCAAAGTTTATACCTGTGCTTTACCGAGTTTAACTTAATAACATGAATAAGTTGAAATAGGTTATTTCCTCTAACAATTTAGTCTTTCCTCAGGATTCGCAAGTGTGGATTTGTAAATCTTATTCTCTACGGTATTTCAATTCATACGTATCATTGATATTCCTCTTTTAGCAGAGCTTCCCATTAGTACAACCATGATTATTCCATTTCTTAAAAGAATTTAATTCTTCCAATTTATATAAAATCTGTCTGTGGGGGGGGGGT